AATTTAAAAAAAGAGATTAGCCAGGCGTGGTGGCACACGCCTGTAATCCCAGCACTCGGGAGGCTGAGGCAGAAGGATCATTGTGAGTTGGAGGCCAGCCTGGGCTACAAAGTGAACGCAAGGCCAGCCAGAGCTGCATAGCGAGACCCTGTCTCAAAAAGACAAAAAAAAAAAAAGGAGCTGAGGGCAGTATAAGGGCAGGTAATGGGGGCTGGGTGGGGGATGGATATGCTCAAAATATAAACACTGAAACAAAAAAATGTGCAACTAGAATGGGGCAAGGGATGTGGGGCATTGGTGGAGGGTAAAAGTGATCCAAGTAGTTATATTCGTGTATGAACTTGCCAAAATGAAACCCATTAATCTGTATAACCAATAAGTGGTAATTTTTGAAAATACGGAAAAAAAAAGAAAAATGAAGGTCTGGGGGTGTAGCTCTGTGGGAGGGCATTTGCCTAGCATGCACCAGGCCCTGGGTTCCACCTCTAGCACCACACGTACAGACAGACAGGCAGGCAGGCAGGCAGTCAGGCAGACATAATTTAAAAAATTAAACTGCCCAAGCTGGAGAGCGAACTGTCCTAGAGTATAACCCAGAGCACCACTGAGATTCTGCTGCACCCCAATTCTCTTTCTTTCTCCCCTTCTTACCCCCACTCGCATCTCTGGTCTGAGCCCTGCCCCTGCCTGTGCTTGCTCTGTGGCCCATGATGAGGCTCGTTCCAGCCCCTGCCCCTCTCCCTCTGCACTTGTTCAGCCGGTTCTGGTATCACCCGTCCAGGAGAGGCAGGCAGGAATGTGCTGGACGTTGGGCCCGGAGGGGCAGCGCTTTCACATTTTCTGCCTAGGAGGGTCCAGGGTGTGGTGCCAGCAGCTCTGTCTAACCCCCTACCAGTGCATGTTTGTTTATATTGTGGTTGTCACCATGGTCCCCTGAGAGCTAGGCCAAAGGGTTGCTAAACACAACCTGGGGCCTTACTTGAACAGGTTGTATCCTAGGGGTTTGTGGACTGGAGGTGGAGTTTTGCTTCCCCAGGCCTTCTGTTTCAGCAGAGAGCGAATTAATCCTGTGAGTCCCAGAACACTCTGAGGCCCAAGGGCTTAGATCCAATCTTCCTAACCCATCATGGTTTAGACTATTTTTTCTCTCTCCCTCTTTTTTTTCGTTTCTTTTTGAGACTGGGTCTCACTATGCAGTTCAGGCTGACCTTGAACTCACTTTGTAGCCCAGGCTGGCCTCACTCGCAGTGATCCTCCTGCCTCGGCCTCCCAAGTGCCGAGGCAACAAACGTGCATGCAGTACCATGCCTAATGGGTGGTTAAACCCTCCCAGGGAAGGCAGGACTTGCTATGGTTTCCAGGGTCAGACAGGCTTGGGTACAAATTCTGGTTGTGTGACCTTGGAAAAGCTTGTGGTTCTTTCTGAGCTTGGTTTCGTTCCATTTCTTTGGCTGTTAAATGCAGGTGCCCATGGCTGCTCCCGAATGGCTGGATAATAATGTAAAACTTTTGGCACACAGGAAATACTAAAAAACCAAACCAAAACAAAACAGGAGTCTTGGAGCCCCTCCATACAAGCATGGGATTAATCCTTCTTGTTTCGAGTAATATTCTACCCACACCCCACGCGCTTCTCACTGTCCTACCACCCCATCTTCTCCTGCACCACCCCCTCCACTTGGGAGGTCCTTTCCTGTACTCAGCATCCTCCTGTAACCAGCACTGCGAAATGGGTCCTTCAAAGTTAGGGTTTTTTCTTTTGGAGATCAGGAATTATTAGAGGTAAGTACATAACCAACACCCACTCCTCTAGACAAGGACCTGCCTGTATCACATCAGGGTGACCTGTATGCCTGGGTCCTCTCCCTAATTAGTGTGGAAACTCCCGGAGCTGAGGCTGTGGGATAGCCTCACAGTACAACAGCAGAATGAGAAATCACCTAGGCTTACCCTTTAGATATATTACCTAACTTCTCTATGCCTCAGTTTGCCCACCTGTAAAATGGGCTGAACAATAGTATCTACCCAGCCCCCAGGGATGTTCTGACATCTAAAAGAGGTAGTGCTGTTAGAATGAGCCCAGGCATGGAATAAATATTTAGTAAATGTGGTCACCCTACACTGTCCAATATACTGTAGCAAATTACAGCCGCATGGGTGATTTAAAGTAAAATTAATCACAATTCTTTTCAATTCAATCTTCAGATCTTCAACTGCACTAACATATTTCCTGTATGACTATGGCTACCACACATGTCTAGTGGGAGGTCAGGTAGAGAATGTGCCCCTCACCATGGACAGTTCAACTGCCTGGCACTGTGGACAGCTGTGGACAACGACAATACATGTGTACGGTAAATTGCTCTGTGTATTTATGTCTGGATCAGGAAAGGTGCTTGGGGCTGTCCTTGAAAGCCCACCCTCAGCCCTCTTCTGGGCCCTCACTCCCCAGCTGTGCTGCAGCCAGAAGGAACTGGGCACCTTGCAGGAGAGGGATTACGGTGAGAAAGGAGACTGGTGAGAAACAAGGGGGATTAGAGCTAATGAGAGGGCAGCCCAGGAACCCAATCTCTGCTCTGCCAGGCTGGCGGGGAAGTGGGTGTGGACCTCGCACCAGCTTTGTAGAAAAGGAGGCTGGAATGTGAAGCAGCTCGGGGCTGGGGTGTGGAGAATTACCTAACTGCTCCCAAGGCATGAAGCAGGTGCTCCAGGGAGAGGGAAATGGCCAGAGATGGCCTCTCTTTCTCTATCGGGGCCTAGACCAAGGAAAACACCAGAGCAGTGTTTGTTATTAACCGACATCAATTCGCCTAAAGAGGCCCCAAGATAGCCCAGAATAGAGGCCTGTGATAGCCCACAAATGGAGACACAGTGCTCGAGGGGGCAGAGAGTCTTAGGCAGAATAGTTTGGGCTAGTCCAGCTGTAGGGGCTGAGGCTAGTCCAGTGGTAGTTTCAGTCCATGTAGATTCTCTTCAGGACAGGAACATGTGTATGCAGAGATCTCAAATTGATGTTTTTTTGTTTTTGTTTTTGTTTTTCTGGTCTTTTTGAGACAGGGTCTCACTATACAGTTCAGGCTGGCCTTGAGCTCAGGCTGGTCTCAGACTCACAACGATCCTCCTGCCTCAGCCTCCAGAGTGCTGGGATTATAGGCATGCGCCACCACGCCCGGCCTGCTGGGTTTTTTTATAGGCAGTCATTGATAATGTGGCGACTCCCTTCCTGACACTTCTCTTCTGAAAGAGACTAATCCCTTAGCCATGCCCAGCCCTCAGCCCTCTATATATCTCATCCACCTAACAATGGCAGGGCAAGCAGTGATAGCACCGTTTTACAAATGAGGCCAGAGATCTCTCAGAGATGCCACCCTGAAAAGCAGGTTTCATGGGGAAGTGGGGAGCAGGGCTGGACCTGGCAGGCTTGTCTAATGGTGGGATGTCATGCAGCATGAGAGAAATCAAAGCGGGGAGGAAGCTTCTGGGCTCCCCTCTTCTCTCCCGGGTGGATGCCACTTGGTGAGAACCTGTCTAAAATCCCAGGTGCTGAAATACACCCTCGCCCCCCAAGGCCGTCCACCTGCCCTCTTCACGCTTAGGAGAGCTGTCTCTGACTGGAGGTCTGTAGGACAAAGGCCCTTACTGTGCCCATGGCCCCAGCAGTTAGAAAAGAAGACAGCAAGATGAGAGATGCTCACCCTTTTACCTGTAGAGGTTTATGGGGCCTCTGAGGTGGGATTTGAAAGGCATCAGGAAAAATGGCATCAGCCCCCAAAATAACAAATAAATAGACCTTCACCCAAGCAGCGCTAGTGAAAATGCACAGTTCGCCAGACCTCGTGCATGCTAGATAAGCTGAGCTACACCCCTGGTCTCTTATGTTTTCTTTTTCTTTTTTCCAGTGTGATAGTGTCTCACTATATAGCCCAAGTTGGCCTTGAACTTAAACTCCTCCTGCCTGGGTCTCCTGAGTCCTGGGATTACAGGTGTGCACCATCATGCTGGCCCAAGGACACCTTCTGAGTTCTATTTTCTGCCCCAGCCTGTCTTCTTTTTCACATGGATGAAAAGATAAGAAGAACTGAGCCTCCCCTCGTGCCCAATAAAGTGAAGGAACTGCTTGCTTTAATGAATGTGTTCTGCCTACCTACCCCGCTGTCAGACCCCTGCCCTGTCGGAGCTGGGTAGAGGGGCAAATTTGGAGAACCTTAGGCGGAGTCTCTTCAATAGTGAGATGGGAGACTGAGACTTAGGAAGGCCTCCTTCCCCTCAAACTCCCTCTACTCCAGGAAAGTGGTCACTGGGGGCACGGAGGGCCTCCACAGGCGCCCACTCTGGGCTCCAGGCCACAGAGGCCAGCCTCCTCCCCTCCCGGCGGGCTCTGTCTGGCACGGGACCTCTGACACTCCCTTTCACCCACCCACCCTCCTGAGGAGTTGCAGAGCCAAACACAGGCCCTCACTTAATCCCAGTTATGTAATGTGCAATCCAAACACTTGGCCCAGGGGAGGTACCTGGGGCCACACCCCGGAGCAGGGGCAAAAGGCCCCAGCTGGCTCTTGGCTGACAGACTAGGCTGGGCCTCTGCTCACCGCAGCCACCACTCCTCCCGCTCAGCCGGCACCATGAGCGGCCGAGTCGGAGACCTGAGCCCCAAACAGGCAGAGACCCTGGCCAAGGTGAGAGCCCTCCGTTTGGGCCCCAGGGGAAAAGGGCTGAGGGCGCGTGGGGTGAGCAGGGGTGGCTAGAACCCTGCCCCACCCTGCTGACTTGGCTTATCTTCAACATTGTCGTCCCCCGAACAATCAAGTCCCACAGTGCCCAGCGACATCAGCCCTGCCCAGGACAGAGGTTGATGGTGAAGCATCCGTTCCTGCAATAGTGTGGGTATTGCCTCCCCAGGACCAAGCTTGACTTCTCATCCAGGAGCCAGACCCATAGAGCTTTATCCAGAAGCTGCCCCCGCCACCTCCTCTCTTCTAGGCCTCTAGGTGGGAGCTGAAGGACGCTGCTGCATTGCTCTGACTCTGTTCCCCTCCCCAGGATTGCGAAAAGAGAAATCTGTAACGGCCGGGCCAGAGTGTGTTGTCATCCCCACAGTTAACGGAGAAGAGGGCAAAAGATCCCTAACCATGGTTTTGTGAAAGATAGGATGAAAAGAAGGCAGACACTGTGGTGGGCAAACACATGGAAGGAACTAAAAATAAAATCCATATCCCAATCCACTTACCAACCTGACCGTTTATCCTTCTACCCATCCATCTTCTCATTCATGTGTGCATTTCTCCTCCCCTTTTGCTCCCCTTCTCTTCATTCTTCTATTTATCTGTTCAGTTCCTTTTACCCATTCACCTATTTTCCATCTATGCATCCATCCTTCCAACCATCCATCCATCATGCATCCATCCATCCATTATCCATCCATCCATCCATCCATGCATCCATCCATCCATCCATCCACAATCCATTGATTTCCCCTGCTCTTTTCTACCCATTCACGCATTCATTCATCCCTCCATTGTTCTTTCTATCCATTTACTCAGCTCCTCCTCCAGGCCCCCCATTTGTCCAACAGTCCACTCTCCTTCTCTCCGCTCTCCAGTTAACCCTTCCCTCCATCAAATTGCCCAGGCTGCATGAGGAAGAGGATGAGAGGCTACAAAACAGTAAGTCCGGAGGCCAAGGCTCAGTGTGAGAGAACCACCTTAACCAGCCTCTCTCTTCCCAGTTCCGAGAAAATGTCCAGGATGTGCTGCCTGCGCTGCCCAACCCGGATGATTATTTCCTTCTCCGCTGGCTCCGAGGTGAGGGCGGAGTGGAAGAATTCAGAATGAGGAGTCCGTGAGAGGCATCTGGTCCCAGTAGCTCCACAATGACCTGAGGCTGTCTTGATGCAACAATCTTGCTTCATGGGTTCATGTCTGGCAGAGGGGAGGGGACAGAAGAGCGGGGTCCTACCCACGGCCCCCACGTTCCCCACAAGGCCCACTGACCAGAAACCAAACAAGGGGACTTACATCTCACCCATACCTTTTCCATCTTCACACAGCTCGGAGTTTCGACCTGCAGAAATCAGAGGCCATGCTCCGCAAGGTGAGACCCACCTACCCTGGAGATTTGGGAACAGGCCTCATCCTCATGTCTCATGCCTCTGCCTCTACCCCCTTTGCAGGGTGCGGGGAGCCCCCTGGGCGCCTTACTACTCCTTCCCTTTTCAGTACATGGAGTTCCGGAAGACCATGGACATTGACCACATCCTTGACTGGCAGCCCCCGGAGGTGGGTCAATGTCAATCATTCATAGACAATACTACTCGTGCAGCCTCTGGTCATTGGGGACCGTGAGTGAAGGGCAGCAAGGCTGGGCCTGCAGGCACCCCTCCTGTACTAATAATGATTCCTGGGGCTTTACAGGCTCAGGCCCAGGCTAAGCATGGGAGTTATAAGCATCGGATCACTTAATAATAAAGCTCTATGTATGAGGGGGGCTATCATTCCCATTTTACAGATGAGGACTCCAAGGCTCAGCAAAGGCTCAGTAACTTTGACCAAAGTCCCACAGCACTAAGATGGGCTGGTGTTTTATGTCAGGCCTATCTGGCTCCTTGAACCTGGGTTCTGAGCCACCACTAGGAGCTCTGTGCCCCTCTACATCAGGGCTTTGCAAGAAGCATCCTGTCTGGTGAGAAAGAAGCAGTTCACCAAGGCACACTGAAAACGGTGCCAGTACTGGGGTCACAATAGAGTAATGGTCACAGCTTCACCTGTAGGGCACATGCTCTAGGCTGGGTACTGTGCTTTGCCAACATTATCTTAGGTACTTCTTCCAATGGTACCAAGGAGGTGGAATTATAAACCACTTTATACAAGAGGAGATAGAATAGGGCTCAGAGAGGTAGTCTCACTCACACAAGGACACACAGCAGGGAAGCAGCAGTGTCTGTATTTGAAACAGATCTGTTGACCTTCAGGATCCAAGTTCTCTGTCTATGCAAAAGGACATGGTAGGCATTGGGGGCAAAACCAGGTACCCCAAAGGCCTTCAGCCAAACTCAGCTGAGACCTGGCTTTTCTATTTACCTGATATGAAAAAGGACATGGTAGGCATTGGACATGGTAGGCATTGGGGGCAAAACCAGGTATCCCAAAGGCCTTCAGCCAAACTCAGCTGAGACCTGGCTTTTCTATTTACCTGATATGAACAAGGCCACCCTCTGGAGGACCCTCACTTTTCTCACTTGGGTCAATAATGCCTCCTCCAAGGAAGAACCAGTGCTCATACCAGGGTGAGTGTAGGCTTGAGTCCCAGCCATGAGCTGAGTCTGGGGGTCTCTGAGGAGGTGTGTGATTCCAAGTTCTGTGTATCTTTCCACATGTAGGTAATCCAGAAGTACATGCCTGGGGGCCTGTGTGGCTATGACCGTGATGGGTGCCCTGTGTGGTATGACATCATCGGGCCGCTTGACCCCAAGGGATTGCTCTTCTCAGTCACCAAGCAGGACCTGCTGAAGACCAAGATGAGGGACTGTGAGCGCATCCTGCATGAGTGTGACCTGCAGACGGAGCGGGTGAGGCCCAGGCCAGGGGTGGCTTAGAGCAGGTGAAGCTGCAGGGCACACGGTCAGGGGATACACCTGTGCTCCCTGCTGTCATGGTCAGAGGGCTCTCAAGTCAAACACCAGGTCTACTGCTTTGCCAGCAGTGTGGCCTAGGAATGCTGTCTCACCACTTTGAACTTCTGGTTGCTCACCTGCAAAGTAAGGGTAATTATGAGTAGTGGTTACAAGGGTTAAATGAGATACTAATGCAAATACAGATGCTCTTCAATTTATAGTGGGGTTGCATCTTGATAAACCCCTCATAAGTAAGCTGGTGGCACATGCCTGTTGTCCCAGAACTCTGGGAGGCTAAGGCAAGGGGATAGCAAGTTCAAGCCCAGCCTGGACATCTTAGTAACATAGTAAAATCATCTCAAAAAAAAAAAATGAAAAGACTGGGGATATAGTTCAGTGAGAAGACCCTGGATTCAATCTCCAGCATCACCAAAAGGGAGGAAAAAATAAACATAAGTCAAAATGCACTTAATACACCTAACCTATCAAACATCACAGCTCAGCCTAGCCTAGCCTACCTTAATGTGCTCAGCATACTCATATTGGCCCACAGTCAGACGTCACAAGAATATTCTATTGCATTTCACTAGCATGGGAAAAAAACAAAATTCAATATTTGAAATATTGTTTCTACTGAATGCATATCACATCTGCACCGCTGGAAAGTTTAAAAATCATTAAGTCAAACCATCTTACATTGAGGATTGACTTAAATGGCTTAGCTCGTGGGCCAAAGGCATATTTCTCAACAATGGTAGTTACTCCTCTTCCCTCTGAGCCTTTCCCCTTGCTGTTCCTCCTGCCTGGGTGACCTCACCACCCATCACCACCACCAAGCACAGGAACTCCCACAGCGTCTTTGGTTCTCTCCTACCCATCCTGTAGGTCTCACACTTAGACATCACCTTCTTGGAGGGCTCCACCTGGATTAAATACCCCTCTTCCCTGTTCCCTCAGCTCCTGTGCTATTCCATAGCAGTACTTATCTGTGCCCTCCACCTTAATATGAGTGTGCTGAGCACATTTAAGGTAGGCTAGGCTAGGCTGAGCTGTGATGTTTGATAGGTTAGGTGTATTAGAGGTCCTGGTTTCTTGTCATCCCCTCAACCGCACTGTGAACTCTTTGAGGACAAGAATGGTGGATTATTAAGCATTATTCATTGCACTCTCGGTGTCTGGCATAAAATAACTGCTTAAGAAATATCAGTTGGATAAATAAATTCATCGTGGATGAATGAATGAAAATATGAGTGGTTGGATGGATAAGTGGCTTGATGGGAGAACTGATGTATGGATGCACCAATGGATGGATGGATGGATGGATGGATGGATGGATGGATGGATGGATGAATGGATGGACAGACGGGTGAATAAATGCATTCAATTTGTCCAGCTTTTCCTCCAAGGACAGAGAAGCGGGGTGGATGAGATGCTGGGGAGTCACATACTTAGGTCACCATTTCCTGAGGCTGTGCTCTCCACCTTAGAACTGTTCCTTGTTCATCTTTGCAGTTAGGGAAGAAGATTGAAACCATCGTGATGATATTTGACTGTGAGGGCCTGGGACTGAAGCACTTCTGGAAACCTCTGGTAGAAGTGTACCAGGAGGTGAGGAAAAGACTTGTGGGCATACACACACACACCACACACACACACACACACACACACACACACACAGTTGGATGACCACTTGGCCTGGTGTGAACTTGCTGCTCATTCACAGCCAAAAATGGGAAAAGGTAACTGCTTTCTGGGACCCCTCAGAAAGGTTCTTAATATGTTTCCCAGAAGACCTTACAGAGCAGTCCTCAGAGACACTACCCCAGGATGATAAGAGCCGCTTTCACCAAGCCCTTCCCAGCCCGCACTCTGAGCTCTGGGACTTGAGCACAGCAGTTTACCTCTCCAAGCCAAAGTTTCCTCACCCCCAAAGGGGGATTGGAATGCAGAGACACTGCAGTGAGTGTTAGGTAAAGTGTATACACAATGTTTGACAAGCAGTGAACATTTACTAGTAGTTACCATCATTATTATACTCGCTTCACTATAATATTTACTCTAAAAGTGATTATTATATAATTACCACTAGGGGTGTGCTTATAGCAGTCTGAGGTAAGATCCCTCCAGAGGTCAGAGGAGGTGATGGCAAAAAAGAAAACCTCTCAGGGGGCTCTGAAACCTCCAGACAGGAGATTGCAAAGCAGATGGGGGAAGGAGAAAATAAAGTCTGGGCTCTGATGGGGTCTTTCTCGGTTCCACAGTTCTTTGGCCTCCTTGAAGAAAATTACCCAGAAACGCTGAAGTTCATGCTCATTGTGAAAGGTGTGTAGCAAGTGACTTCCCTTATCTGTGTACCGCCCCCATTCCGGATCTGCGCCCTGAGGATGATAGTGCCTTCGTCTCAGGGTTGTTGTGAGGCACATTGATTGCTTGTAGATCACTAAGAGTATTGGGCACAGATTAATTATTAATAATTGGCCTTAGTATAAGAAAAGACAGCTCCAACCTCAGTTCCTCCAGGAATCCCCCTTTGCTTCTCCCAGTCACGATGACCTCTCCTTCTCCAAGCTGCCTCTGGCACAGGCAGCTGGTGCAGCTCGATGTCACCTTTCCCATTTGCTCCTTTCTGAGGGTCTTCATTGTCTTATGTGTGTGCATTCTGTTTTTCTGGCCATATTATGTGCTTCTTGAAGGCAAGAACTCTGATTTTCCATCTCTGTTATATTCCACCAGATCTGGCAGCATGGTGGGTGCTCTGTAATTATTTGGGTGGATGTTATCTGGAAAGGCTGGTAGATGAAAAGATGGATATATGTTTGACAGCTGATTTATTGGTCAGTTAGTTGTTTGATCCAGCTTACTGCCTAGTGACTGGCTGGTGTTTTGGTTGCTTGTTTGGGCTGATTGTTTGGAGTTGAAAGCTTGTTTGGGTGGTTTGCTGGAAGGTTGACTAGTTGGCTGGCTAATCTGTTGTTTGACTGAGTGACTGGTGGTTGGATCTCTGGTTATTTGGATGGATGGATGGATGGATGGATGGATGGATGGATGGATGGATAGATGGGTGGATGGATGGGTGATCGAGTAGCTGGCTAACTGGACAGGGCTGTTGTTTGGATGACTAGCTGGTTGTTCAGTTGGCTGGTTGGTTTTCTTGTGGCTGACTTATTAGGTAGTTGCTTGACTATTCAGGAAGTTGGATGATTAGTTGGCTGATTAGAAGATAAATCAGTAGACTATTTGTTGGATCCTTGGTTGTTTGTTTGATAGATTCCTTGGTTTATTGGTTGATCAAGTGGGTGGCTGATTAGAAGGTTGGATGTTTGACTCATTTGTCAGTTGGTTGGGTGGGTTTTGATTGAGTGATTGGTTAGTTGGTTGTTTGCTGGCTGAGTGTTTGGTTAGATGTTTTGTTGGGTGCAGGGCATTGGAACTCAGCAGAGTTAATCCTGACTCTTGCATATCATTGGCTATGATATAGAGCATATCCAGTTACCTAGATCTTATTCTCTACCATACCATTATGGCCGAGAAAGAGTTTCATATCGTTATGAAAGAGTAGCCCAGTGGAATTCCTTTCTCCTCATTATCCATATTTGTATCTCTCCAGCTACCAAACTGTTCCCTGTGGGCTACAACCTCATGAAACCCTTCCTGAGTGAGGACACTCGCAGGAAAATTGTAGTGTTGGGAAGTAAGTAGTTCCAGCACCATTTCTCTGCCCTGTATGTGAGCTTTGGAGTGAGATTGGTCCATCACCCATCAGAACTGTACACATCACTTAGAGTCATAGGCTCCTGTTCCCAAAATGAGATGCTTTTACCCTGGAGAGCATATCCAGTTACCTAGACCCTATTCTCTGCCATACCCCTTAGTGAATAGGCCTCTATACCTACCTCTTTATCAGTTTCAGCTTAGTTATATTCAGTCCCTGGTCTAGCAGCCTCAGTTCCATTTCAACATTCATAATCCCAGTGTTTCTAAAGACAACTTGGGTTAAGGAGGATGAGGAAGAAGATCAGGAAAAGTAGTTAAATTCAGAAAAGGGAAAACCAACAGAAAGGACTGGGTAACTAAATAATGGTGCATCCATTCAATGAAATATGGGCAACCATGAAAAATAATGCTGCGCATGAATATTTAATGTCATAGGAAATAGCACTAAGTGAAAAATGTAGATTGTAATGCCGTGTAGACAATGTGACCTTATCTTTGTAGAAACAAACACATACAAAACAAATATATGTATTCTAAAGAGAAAGACAACAGAATATTGACTTGTTAATGATGAGAAATCATGTAGTTTTTAATTTATTTGTGTTTTTCCAAACCTTTAAAATTTTCTAAAATAATATTAATTTTATAGGCAGGGAAAATAACAGTTTTTTTTTAAGTTACAGAGTGAGAGAAAGAGGAAAAATAATTCATAGACCCAAACCAACGACCTTGAGTTTGGAGGATAACTTCTCCCAGGCAGAATAGTCAGATCATAGAATCATGAAAACTAGGGACCTGGGTGGGTGTGAGGGTCTTACAAATCCTCACTTTTTCTTCTTTTCTGACACTCAACCTTCACATCTATCCACTTCCACTAGGAGGGAGCTCAGTGGATAACAAGGTAGCCTGGTTTGAGGGCCCCAGGGCACTGCCTTCTAAGCTCACCAAACCTTGGAGTAGTGTGGGTTACTCCACACTGCAGGATGTACATCTATGGCCTCCACCCCTCTTGGTGTCCCATGAAGCTCAGGGCATTTGGCCTCAGTGAACCAAACACTGTGATCTTTTCCTTACCCCACTAAAGGAATGGCCTTGAGTGTTAGCCTGAATTAGCCACAGGCCTGGACCATGGCAACACCCCAGAGCTTTGCATAGGGTTTGAATAACAATAACAGCCCTTAGACATTATGAGAGAGGGAAGGAGAGTTCTCTCCAAAGACCCAGACACATCCATCTTCTACCAAAAGGTCTGATTTACTCACTGAGTGACCCCAACAAGGTCCCTGACCTCACAGAGCCTTAAAGGCTCCTTGAGACAATTAAAGAACTCTTAGGTTTGCTACCTAAGCATTTATTACTTGTGATTGAGAAGCCTTTAAGAATGTGCAAACCAAGGGCCAGGGATATAGCTCAGCAACACAGTGCTTGCCTGGCAAGCATGAGGTCCCGAGTTCAATTCCCGCTTCAAAAAGAAAGAATGTGCAAACCCATCAGCCAAAGAGAAACACATTTCCATAGCAACAGGATGCTGAGAAAGACACTTTCTACAGCCTGGGGTCTAAGAGGCTGGGGAACTGGCTCTAGTAGCCCAGCTCCCGCAGGACTTGGAGAAGCAAGTTCAGGGCATCCTAGTGGGCATGGGAGGCTGATTGGTCCCTTCCGTATGTGATAACCACTCTTCACTCTCTCTGCTCCCAGACAGCTGGAAGGAAGGTTTGCTGAAACTTATCAGTCCTGAAGAACTGCCTGCCCACTTTGGGGGGACCCTGACTGATCCTGATGGAAACCCCAAATGTTTAAACAAGGTACAAAGAGCCTAGGACAGGAGAATAAGAGGGTAGATCTGGGTTTCTTTCCCAGTTCATTCATTCTACAAGTATCTGTTGTTAGGCAATCATGTGTGAAAACAGGGTGTTAAGCTGGGGAGTTCCCACCCTGCTCTTAAGGGAGCTCGGAGCAGCTGTGCAGACAAACAAGAAGTGAGGAGATTTTTGAACTGGAAGAGGAAGCTCTCAGAGAAGTCCATGGGCCAGCCTGGATGCTAAGGGAAGGCTTTCATGGATAGGGAGCAGGGGACAGGATGAGTAGGATCTTTCCTGGAAGTGACGAAAGTGTCACAGGTAAGAGAAACAGTATAGCTGATAGCCAGGAGGAGGAACAAGCTGCTCCATCCTGTGTCTGCAGATCAACTATGGGGGAGAGATCCCCAAGTCCATGTACGTGCGGGACCAGGTGAAAACTCAGTACGAGCACTCCGTGCAGATCAGCCGCGGCTCCTCACACCAGGTGGAATATGAGATTCTGTTTCCAGGCTGCGTCCTCAGGTAGGGATGGACCACTGTCCCACCCTTCCCTGGGCCCTAACCCCTCAGGAATTCATCAGATTGAACGGCAACCTGTCTCCTCCCAGGTGGCAGTTTGCATCAGATAGTGGGGACATTGGTTTTGGGGTTTTCCTAAAGACCAAGATGGGAGAGCGGCAGAAGGCTGGGGAGATGACGGAGGTGCTGTCCAGCCAGCGCTACAATGCCCACATGGTGCCTGAGGACGGGAGCCTCACCTGCTCGGAGGCTGGTGTCTGTAAGTCTTCCCCAGCTGGACACTGGCTCAGAAGGCAGGAGCCACCTGATCTGTGGCTTACAGGAGGAAACAGAGAGTCAGTGACACCTCAACACATATACCCACAAGGCTAGGCCTGGTGGCGCACACCTGTAATCCCAGAACTCAGGTGGCTGAGGCAGGAGGATTGTTGTGAGTTCATGTCCAGCCTGGGCTACAAAGTGAGCTCAAGGCCAGCCTGAACTGCATAAAACAAACAAACAAACAAACAAACAAACAAAAAACCCACATATACACCCACAGACCCATGACCTAGGTTAGGGCTGTTTGTTCCCACCCAGCATGGCACTCGGGCCACAGGGCACACAGAATGATAGGGCAAGTATAGCTTCCCCCATGAGGAAACTGAGAAGCAGCTTGTAGCACCACAAAGCTGAATGTGATGCCAGGATCCCTTCTTGGCCTCAGTATTGCTGCATAACCCTGGGCAAAATTCCAAGGCAGGAAGGACCCTTGGTTTTGCTCACCTGTGGCCAGGGGCTACAGTCCTTGCCTCTTGGGGTTGCTGTGAGGAGGCACAGACTATGCAGCAGGCTGGCCCAGGACTTCCTTCACCCAAGGGGGCTGAGAGGACTTTGCTATCCCCAACTGTGCCACCTCACATGTGCGTCACAGTAGTGTCCAGGTGTAGAGACAGTGGGATCCAATTACCATTGTTCTCACAGCCCGCTAAAGGTACAAGTAAAGCCAGGCTTTGACATACACCAGAAGGAGGTCAGTGTCTGTTTACAGGTACTGCTCGTGACTGGCAGTTCCCATAGGAAGGGAAAGGCATGGTCAAAACCTGGTGAACAAAGCTGGTGAGGACACAGGCCTGTCCTCCCTCATAGTCAGGGTAGGGAGGCAGAGAAGGTGAAGCCTGACCAAACTGCCCATCTTTTCGTCTGCCCCCCAGATGTCCTACGCTTTGATAACACCTATAGCTTTGTCCACGCCAAGAAGGTCAGCTTCACCGTGGAGGTTCTGCTCCCGGACGAGGGCATGCAGAAATACGACGAGGAGCTCACCCCTATCTAGGTGTCCTCTCCACTTCACAAAGACCCCTAGCTGTTTTCTCTTTAATTACCCTACCTTCCCACCCTGACACTGATCAATAGTCTTCCTCACTCTGGGACATTAGTAAGTAGAGAAAGATTTCCAGGAGAAGGTTCATCTGTGGTGGCCAAATCAAGAAAGACATAAAACACACAGCCTTGAAGAAAACAAAAGTTACAGAAGAAAAAGCAGCAAGAGTGAAGGCAAGAGGTGGATGTCACTGAAATTCAAGAATAGGGAAATGAATCTCATAGCCTTCATCCTTGCCTATCTTAAGGCATTTGTGTGTGCTTGAATTCCTTCCCTGTGGGATGTGAGAAACTTGGGTTTGAAATTTACCTGAATTCTTTTTACCTCCACTCCCTATATGGTAGATACTTAGAGTATACATAAGAGTTGAATGGTGGATCAGAATGGAGAGAGCAAGTGATTCACGGGGTGTGTATGACAAGGAGGAGATTTCAGCACCTTGGACAGGAACAGAGTATCATAGGGATGGACTTCTGGAGACCCAGGCAATCCAGCTCCCAGGTTTCTGACTGCGGCTTCCTCTTGGGAGCCCACTCACGAAACCTCTGCATCTCTGGCAGGAAATGCCTACACAATGTCTAACTTGGGACACTCATTTTCTTCCAATCATTGTTACCATCCTCACTGCTCCCCTTTGGAATTCACAGCTTATATATTAAGCAATTAAAGGAGTTTTCTTCAAAACAAGGGAAGCTACATCTCACTCTAGCTGCTGCCTGGCATCATGATAATAAAATATCACACCTGTCATGTGGTGAGTACTGTCTATGTGTCCAGATGTTTTAGGGACTTAGCTCATTTCATCCTCATACCATCCCCAAGCCCACTTATCATGGCCACTTTATGGATATGGAAACTCAAGATCAGAGAGGTACAGTCATTCACTTAGTGTCATATAAGTGGAAGATCCAGGGCCCAGTTTTTTGGTTCTTTATCTACTCTAAAGGTATTTGTCATAGTTTGGGGTTTTGCAAAGACAGCAATACAATACAGGACACATATTTTATAAGATTATTTATAATAGTCACCCAAAGAATCATATACAAAGAGACTGCAGGCAATCTGTCCACACACTAAGACCAGGGAATCTAGCTGAGGGCCTGGATCCCATGATAATGTCTGCATGGTCCAACTGAAGACCTAGAGCCCATAGCAATGCCTCCCAGGAATCCAACTGGAGGCCCAGAGCCCATGACAATGTCTCATGCAAGCCTGTTTCATGGATCTGTGCTGGGAAGGCCCAAAGTTCAGTGGTGGAAGCTAGAAAGTCTGTGCCAGCAGGATGAAGGATCTGTGCTAACAGGCTGTGGGATCTGCACTGGAGCCAGGAAGTGATGCTCAAAGTAAGGCCCAGGACTCCCCCAAAAAATACCACAGCCATCCTCAGCAACACTGAGGTCCTGAGGTTCCCATCAAGAAAGCCAAGGTAACAAGCTTCCTCAGGAGACTGAGCAGTGCACCATCTCCCCCTCAAGAGCCAGGAAGTGATGCTCAAAGTGAGGACCAGAGCTCTCCCAAAGTGAACTGTAACCATTCTCAGCGACAATGAGGTCCCGAGCTCCTCCTCCAATGAGAACAGCTGAGTTCATCACAAAAACCAGCATGACAAACTCTTCCAGGAAAACCAACAGTCCCTACAGCTTCTCAACAACTTCCAACAGGCTCTCAACAGCTTCTACCAGCTCCCAACAGCCTCTAAACTTCTTCCTCTGGATCTGTGCTGGGAAGGCCCAAAGTTCTGCCTCTTCTGCTGCTGGCAACAATCCTCAGGTGGGCCTCCCACTCCCAGCACTATGCTGGTTTCAATTCAACTGGGTGTTATAAGTTGTCAATCCACCACAGTATTGTTCTAAATTGCCCTATAATACTATCTCCTAAGACTATACCTTTACCAAAGAAGAAACAAATGGTGATTTTTTGGTTCTACGTCTTCTAGTACAAGTGTCCTGTTGTCTTCCTCTCCAGTCCCTGTTTGTAGGTCCAGTGGGCAACAATGCTTAAGCAGTTTGTCCAGAGAGAGCTGGGCAGGGTTGTCCTATCACCAGCACCCTGTTCACCACCCACATGGCATCTGTGAAGCGCGACCACCTGACACTCACCATGATGCTGGGTGACTAGGAGAAAAGACAAGGATTCAGAGATTTTTTTTCCCTCAACTTCTTGCTCCAATTTGGGGACACTGAGATCTTAGCTTGAGCCCTAGGTCCTAACACAACTTTTGACAAAGCCAGCTTACACCAGAGAATGGGGATGGATGGGAACCAAAGGCTTTCTCTGGTGTCGTGAGAGGCACCTTGGGGTCATGCTGGGGCTCAGCTAGCTGAGTGTGAACCTGCCTTTGGGAAGACTATGAAATCCGACTCTGAGGCAAACATTCAGCAGCTGTAAGAACTTTCCTGAGTGTTCTTCTGAGCACAGGATCTTACCTCAGTTTCACAGCAGGGACCCTGAATCCTTGCCCAAGGGCACTGGCCTTGTTTCCTGCAGCCTGTGGATGGCAGAAATAGGACTGGAGCAAAGATGCTCACCTCATCTCTTTGTCCCCGGTTTCCTGTCGTGACCTGCAGAATAGGACAAGGCTCCCTCCCTCTTGAGCTTGGGGGTGAGGGGGCTGCAGAATAGGAGGAGGGGGGTGCAGGGGAGGGCTGTCAGATTTCAGAGGGAAAAAGCAGTATTTGAGAAATACTCAAAAGTTACTCATTAAGTGAAGTTAAAATTTAACGGAGTATCTGACGCTATAAATGGGGGCTGATGGAGAGAAGAGGGAGGGCAGGGAAGAAGAAAAGAGGGGAACAGGTCCAGCCTTTCAGACTAGGCTGGCAGCACCTGAAATTTGAGCCAAGCGTGTCGTGGGCTCCTTGGAAGAGGATGGCTCGGTGTCACTGGCACAGGGTGGGGGAAGAGGACAGCCTTCCTCCCTTGCCCACTGAGGCAGCAGGGTTGGAGGATGAGGGTGCATAAGGAAGCTGTGAGCAGGGCTTTTGGGTACCATCATTTTTCAGGGCTCCTCCTGAGGAACTGAGCAGGGGACTTGTTACCAGATCAAAGCAGCGCTGGGAGCTCAAGGCCAGGACCGGAGCTGCGATCCAAAAGGTGCCCCACTGGGCATTCACTAATGCTCAGCAGTGGTCAGCAGCTCCCACTCTGCACCCCCAGAGCAGCCTTCCCTGATGCCAGCCTCTCTTGGGGACCAGACGCTCAACTCCAATTTCAAACATCCAGGAGTCACCATGGGGGAGGGAGGGAGACTTGCTCTGTAGCTTCGGCCAATACCCACCCACCGCCATGCTAGCAGTGGTCAGTGAGCAGTGTGGGGGCCAGAGGACCATGGTCTGCAGATTCCTGCTGTCTGAGAGGGAATGTTAAGGACGTAGGAGCTCCAGCTCCAGCAGCCCAGAAATGCTGGAAATGAGCAGGAAGGAGAGATTTGGGGAGCCCTTAGGGGGCTGAGGATGGTTGCCACAGGATGTTCCCACAAGAAGGGCCAGTTACGGCTGGGGCTGGAAGGGCAGGCCCCTACCATGAAGATTTCAGGCTAGCGCAACCCATGGACAGCTTTATGCTGGTACCAACTATCCCCCTAGCTCCTGCCTCTTCCTCCCTCTCCAATAATTCAGTACCATGGTGGCTTCTCCAGGTAGAAGTCAGCTTTGGCCCCAGATACTTAACCCCAACAAGCACAAGGGCCACGGGAGGTTAAGGCAAGACAATAAAAAACCTTCATGGTAAGTATACAAAAGTGTTGTTCAATGGTTTTTCAGAAGGGACTACCACCTCTGAGATTTTCTCCAAGATGGGGAGATTCCCATCCGTCTCCTCCTCAGAGGAGGGTCTCTCTGCTGCCTCACTCATTAGCACCTTCTCCTCGTGTCCAGGACGGTGGCAAGGAGGTTGTGGTGTAGGGAGCTACCCTGGAGTATTCATCAAACTGCAGAAAGTACAGCATGGGTGGGCAACTTTGACAGCTGTCCTTAGGGAGGGATCAGGAAGAGCCAAGTGACACAAGTGAAGGCCAGTATGGCCCCCAGCAAGCCCTGCACCATCTTGCAAAGAGCTAGCAACAAGGGGCACCTTCAAAGTGCCCAGAGGTATGGAGCAGGTTGTGCAGGACAGAGAGAGCTGACTGCAAATCCAAGCTATTTACCCAGGCAGGGGGAAGAAGCCAGGTGCATGTGGGGAAGAAAGACTGTGGTTGGGACAGGACCAAGCGTGCGTGTCAGTGGACCTGAACAGTAGCGACTGGAGGAAGGAACAGTCTTCTGGGGACAAAGACTGCTCTCCAGCCCCAGAATCCACCTTTAAACCTTGACACCGGTGGTTTCTTGAACCTTCAGTGACCTTGTGACTGAGGTATAGGCATCCACTTCTCACAGGAACCCTGTGGGGGACACTGGGGCCTCTTCCTTGCTTGGGTGGAGGACAATGTCCCTCCCAGCCTCTGGAGAGGCCCAGAGCCAGACAACACCCTGAAGCAGTTCTGTGTTCATCAGCTAAATGGAGACAGGGCAGTGAGATGTCACTTAGCAGGGTGTAAGAGAAAACCGGGAAACACAGGTACAGCAGGCACCCTCCTTACCCACAGCTTCGCTTTTCTGACATCTCAGTTATCTGCAGTCAACCATAGCCTGAAAGGTTTTTTTGTTTTGTTTTTTGTTTTTTTTTTTTTTGGTACTGGGAATCAAACCCTTGACCTCAGGCTTGCCAGGCAAGCGCTTATGCCGCTGAGCTACATCTGTGGCCCCAGCCTGAAAGTTTTAAATGCAAAATTCCAGAAATAAACCATTCAAGAATTTTAAATAATTTATTAAATGAAATTGTTATAATTGTTCTATTTAATTATTAGCTATCGTTGCTAACTTCTTACTGTGCCTTATGCATAAACTAAACTCTATTGTAGGTTTGTATGCATAGGACAAATCACAGTGTCTATAGGATTCAGTTCTTTCCACAGTTAGGTATCCACTGGAGGGTCTTGGACTGTATCCCCTGTGGGTAAGAGGGGATGACTAAATTAACACAGTTCTGGTTAAATCTCTCTACCTACCTCCCTGGGTTATTATACCATCAGCAATGTAAAAGAGGTGTGTGACCTCCAGAGCTGTCTGTGGAGTGAGAGAAGCATGTTATAGAATGTTATGAAAACTGTGTCGCTGCATTAATGTGTCAGTCTACAGCAAAAGTCACCTGGACGGGACAACACACTAACGTGTTAATTAACAATTCTATGGCTGATAGGTTCATATCTTGTTGAAGGGTCTGAACTTTCTAGAATGGTTCTGTATTTGCTTTACTACATTTGTTTGGTAAAGAGGGTCAGGGAATCAATTATTATAAGTGAATATAGAAGCACCCTTCCCAAAGAGGGCTGGCTCCCTGCTGAGCACTCACGCCATGACTTCTTCATAGCCAACGCCACTGTGTCCCTGACTCATTTTGCCTCCTGCTCCCATCCCAGAACTTATTCCTTTGGTGAGAGCAAGGCCATTCATCTGCCCACACAAGCCAAGACCCCTCAGGTCTTCCTCCGCAGCCTCCCTGACCTGGCCCCAAACAAGGGTGGGAATAGCCGAAGCCACAGCAGTCACAAAGAGAGATTTTCCACTTATTGATAAGCTGCAAGCTCCCAGCAGTCCCGGCAGAAAGGCACACGCAGTCAGGAAGTAGGGGGGCAACAGTCTTCCCAGGTGAGAAAGCCTGACCCAAACCCCAGTTCCCGCATGGCTGCCTCAGCTGTGTGACAGTGGGTGGTCATCTGGCA